CTGATCGAGCCTAGGAAGAGGCGGAGCCGCGGGAAGATCCTGGGTGCGATCACTGAGCAAGCAGAGCCGGAAACCCAAGCCGGCAAGGAAGGAGATGGAACGTTTGCTGTACAGAAAACTCCCCAACACCAGCGAACTTGCCAGGACATCGGAGATGTAAAGGTTCCGAAGTGAGAGACTAAAGAGACGAGACACCGCGAGACCTCGAAAATGCCAACTGGCAGGGTAAGCCAGGAAACCAGGAACCCAAACCTGGCAATAGGAGAGCCAAAAGGCACATATAAAACACAACAATCTGTAGGATAAAATGAGAAAAACGGAAAAACACAAGAAAAAGACCAGAAGACCAACCCCAGCGGCTAGGGAAAAAAGTGTAGAAGAAAGATGATGATGAATTTAGAAGGTAGGCAGCAAACGGGAACGTAAGGGAGATGACCAACAACACTCAGAGCTGCTGGTCATGTCACAACAAGTCACACCAACAACACAGAGTTGTCGGACACGTCCCAACACAAGACGAAACTGGTAAAGGTGCAAAGGTTTGCCACCTGACTAGCACCCGAACCGAGGGCTACGAGCTACGAGGAGAGAATAGGGGAACAAAACCCCACGTCACTGGGAGACAGAAGAGCTAGAGGGAACACGATCATAACATACAAGATTCTCAAAGGAATTGATAGGGTAGATCAAGACATACTAAAACAAGGGGCACACACACTAGGGAACACAGGTAGAAAGCGAGTGCCCAAATGAGCCGTAGAGACATTCTTGAGGTTATCTTGAGATGATTTCGGGGCTTTTTAGTGTCCCCGCGGCCCGGTCCTCGACCAGGCCTCCACCCCCAGGAAGCAGCCCGTGACAGCTGACTAACACCCAGGTACCTATTTTACTGCTAGGTAACATGAGTATAGGGTGAAAGAAACTCTGCCCAATGTTTCTCGCCGGCGCCTGGGATTGAACCCAGGACCACAGGATCACAAGTCCAGCGTGCTGTCCGCTCGGCCGACCGCATTAGAAAGAAGTATGTCAGTGTCAGAGTAGGAGACAACCGGCATGCATGAGGAAGTGATGTGGTGGAGGCTGACTCCATACACAGCCTCAAGTGTAGATATGATAGAGCCCTGTAGGCTCAGGAACCCGTACATGAGCCGATAGACAGGCGAGAGGCGGGACCAAAGAGCCAGAGCTCAACCTCTGCAAACACAACTAGGTAAGTACAGAGGCCATGTAGATGTCAGGTGAGAGGCGGGACTAAAGAGCCAAAGCTCAACCCCCGCAAGTACAACTTGGCGAGTACAGAGAATCCATTGTATATGGAAGGGCTAAGCCAGGCACTGCAAGACGGGCAAGGAATGAGTGACCCAGATAAGACCACGAAAAACGGGGCTGTGACTCACCGTGAGACAAACAACACAGACGAACAAGGAAGGCCCCAGGAAGAAGCACGCAAGGGCCAAACAAAATGCCACAACTAATCCCCAAAATGCATCTCCAGTATCATAACTGCAGCAAAATGTCACCTCATAACATCCTAACACAGTGTAACATTTACCATATAACATTCGCCTCCATCATCTTACCTCGTAACATAGCGGAGGTAGGGCCCTTTGATTGACTCAAGCATGGGTTGGACATGAATATGAGTGGAACTGGATGGGTAGAAATAGGAGCTGCCTCGTATGGGGAAATAGACCTTCTGCAGTCACCTGTGACCTTATGGTCTTATATTCGTACGCAAAAACCACGAACCAGTGTCTGGCTGAAAGAGACACCAGACCACATAAGCTCACCTGCAGAACGTAGGCACGAAGGTGTCATGACACAATGTGAAGAATACAAATACAAAAGAACGAGACAGGACCGAAAACCAAGAAGAAGCACAGAAGAGGACCAACAAGCCCTAGAAAGGACTGGAGGGAAGCAACACCGGAAGACGACAGATGTTCCAATAATACGAGAAGATGCGAAAACCTTCCCGAACCTTCGAGAACACACAGAAGCAAGCACAAATCATTGAAGGCACATAATGCACAGGAGCACCCGAGACCAAAAGTCATGCAGAACCCCGAGAAGAGGGGAACATAACGGAGTAGTCAGGTCCCAAAGAAGAAGGGCGAGTAAACGGAGAAGAGGACCCACCGACAGGATGGAACTGACGGACCCAAGGGGACAAGGAACCGAACCCAGGGAGGGGCCGACGCTCAACAACTCGTGCGTAGAGGAGGGGGGGAAAGGAAACACTCAACTCCCCGTAACTGCAAGCCCCGCTCAGAGGGTAGAAAACCCCGGCGTGGTCCAACGGGGTCCGAGGACTCCCCCAAGTCAGCCCCTTTCCAGCCCCAGGAACCCACATGGCAGGCCCCGGGGCCGAGCCGTCCCCCCAAAGCCCCAGCCTCACACGAAAAAGCCGGGGCAGCCTCGGGGCTTCCAGGGAGAAAATCACCTAGTGCGTTGCCACCACCTGAACTTTACATGCAATGCCCATGCTGCCTGCACCCGCATAGTCAGCATAAGACTGGGTAACCGAGTCACAAACAAGCAACAAAACTCACAGGACTCCGGGCCGAAGGTGCCACCGACCCCACAGGCAGCAGACGGAGGCAAAAACAGGGAGAATCACTTTGAGACAAGGGGACAGAGCAACCCTTGAACTCGCACAAAGCGAGGGAGAACTCCAGGGTCATATCCATCGGACCCACGCATGCCCATGGGTATTCCCAGGGTCTCGAGATGGAACTCATGCTCAGGGAAGCCCAGGCAGGGTACTGCTAACCGGCGCCAAAGTCTACTAAATAACTTTCTAAGAACTGAATCCCCGGGACAAGTACACTCATGGGGTCCTAGCAGGGGGAACTACCAGAAGAAGGACGAGTACTCAGTACACAGGGGGCAAGAACCAAGCCAGACCCCCCCCCCCAAACAGGCAGGCAGGCAAAAAGAAGAAAACCCCGCAAGAGGACAGCTTGCCCAGGTGGAACAGAGCCGGCAGTACCCCGCGCCCCTACTAGTGCAAACTGCCCCTTACCCTAAGGCGAACAAGGGAGACAGAAAACACTAGCACACAAAGGGCGACCGAAAACCAAGCAGTAAACGGCCTAGCAGGGGCAGAACCCAAGGAACTTGTGGAAGGTGGCCCCAAGCACAGTACTTACAGGGCACCTAGGGAAGGAAGCCCTAGGTGCATGCAGCCTGAGTACTGGAGAATCACTCCTGGCTCACGCACCACCTAGAAGACAGTCATCACACACAACCGTTGCCTATAGTATCAGCCTCAGAACTGAGAGAGGGAATGCCGGCGCAGGGGTCTGTGGCTCCCCCTTTTCCCTCCCGGGGAGGGGGGAGCTGTGCAGACAGTGACGCGGCAATGTGTGACGTCATACTAGTTTGCTCGTTTCTGTTCGGGGAGTTCTCCACTTGTTCTGCTTTTTGTAGCAATTTTCACCAGAATAGGGGTTTGTTTTGGGATGCTTACCTTTCTGGGTGCCTGACCAGGTTGGTGGCAGACAAAGAATGCTTCCAACCACATGGGGGTTTCTATAGGCCATTGAACCCCGTGCCTCTTCTGAGGGGGGTAGGTTCTGGCTCGTGGTCCCTGGTAAGCCCACAGAACTCCATACACATGACTGATGCCAAAGTCTGACACTAGCGTATCATCCCAGATAGCTCCTGGGAGCCGACGAAGCTCTCCCCAGAAAGAGGCGTTGACAAAGCAATCTTCGGGGGGTGTCTGCTCCACTCGAGCTGTTAGGCGTGAGTTGCCATAAAGATATTATTACCTAATTATTTCAATGTCTCTGAATGATTTCTTCTAATTTTTTTTACAGTAATATTATTCAAAAGTGTGTTGTGTGATATATTTATATATGTAATAAAATGTGTGAATCATCACTATACTCAAAAGTATTGTGATCATATTAGTGATTCAATTATGTTCATAAAACAAATAGTTTTGCTGTTATTATACTATATACACAGGTTACAAAGGTATACAGGTATACACAGGCTATTACACTATATACACAGGTGGCCACACACAACTGATGCTCCCTCTCTCCCTCACTGGTTCAAGGCAAGATGCACCGACATTCTTCCTTCAAGTATACTGTTTGTGGTGTTATTACACTATATACACACACACACATTATATATTAGTATCTACATGTTTTGTTCACCATAATTGTTCAACTAAGCTTTTATAGTGCCCAAAGAGCATAGTGGGCACCCAAACATACCATGACAAGTCATGCAGATGATGCCACTTCCTTCACCAAAATGGCTTCTCCCAACACTCCTTTTGTTGTTATTACACTATATATATATACATGTTATATATAAGTATCTACATTTGTGTTTGTCACCTCACCTCACCTCACTCGCCAACATTCTCCCACCATACTGTTTTTGCTTTTATTCAATATATAGACGCTATATATAAGTATCTGCATGTTTTATTTACCATAACAAACCACTAAGCTGGTATAGTAAGTGCAGACAGCAACAGGTGGCCACACAGATTTGGCAGACTACGTTACAGCCCTTCCACGCTCAACATTACTCCTTCCATAGCACAGCACAAATTATCACAACAATCCTCTTATTATCAGAATCCTGGTCATTTTTATCAGTCAGGGGTCTTCTGTAATACAATCAGCGCTAAATAATATCAGTTACATATATTTTTGACATTTTTAGGCGATGCTATGGTCACAAGCTGAACAGCAGTGCTGTGAGCTCATGCTGCGTGCACCAGCCTTGGTAGGTCACTCGGTACTGAGGCTTTCACACCCGAGAATGTTGTCCACGATTTTTTTTTTTAAATGGAGTCTGTTTACAAGAGCCCTGAGGAAGATGATGTGAACCCTGTGTAGCCGCGGGCCGTTTAAATCTTGCGCAGTACTCCAAAATGTCATATGAAAGGGTGCGCACTTTTGCGTCAGTTACTCAATACGTCATATGAAGTGTTGTGTAGTTTAAGGGTTAATTCACAAATTGATTCTTACCTTAACAAGCCCTATGAGTTGTTCTCCTGGTTCATGGAAGAGAAGAACTTCACAGTGAAGCTTTAGCCGGTGGTCGACATCGGCAAAGTCTTCATACGAGTATCGGATGGGATTGGAAATCCTGTCAATGTCCTCGACTTCTGTAACTTCCTCCCACCACAGCCAGTAGTAGCCTAGAAACATATGATTAGACACTAATAACAAATGTAATATAAGAAAATACTATTGCATAAAAAAACAGCGTTGAACGTAATGAAACCCCATTTTCTGGGCGAGTCCTGGAGGCTCCCTGGAGGTATCCAGGCTGAATGGATATGAATAACTTTCTGGCATCAGTCAATATTAATATTTTTGGGGGTGTGGAACGGATTAATTCAATTCCCTTTATTTCTTATGGGAAAAATCGTTTCGACTTACGATATGTCTGGGAACGGATTACCATTGTAAATCAAAGCCCCACTGTACATTGGTTGATACAAAAAAGTTCTTAGAGGTTATGCATCTCTTGAAGCTCCTCTGCTTCCGGACAGGAATCGAGGATGCAGCAGGCCTTTTCCCTCTGGATTGCCACCGAGGTGCTGAAACAAAAAACTGGCAGCCCTTGGGTCTCTGGTGACATGAATGAGCCTGGAGCCCAATTTCTTGAGAAAACCCAATGCACTCTTACCCGAGGGGCCATGCGTCTCAGATGCTATGGGAACAAAGGTGTATTGACCTTCCAATCGCCTGTAGTTGGCTGATTTTGCTATTTCCCTGTGGTTGGCCACCCCACCTGCTTATTCACCACCATAGTGTACATAGGTGTCAGCCAGGGGTGGATACATGTGTGTAGTCCCACACCAACTGTTTGCCCCTTTTCCAAGGGTATAGTGATGCCATCAGGGTGAAGTGCGGAGTCATCCGGGTTTTGGTCCCCTAGGATGCGAGGTTCTCTCTGCTGAACACTGAGCTGAGGCAAGGTTCCTCATGATGAAGTCATTGACCTCGTTGTGTCTTGCATGCTAGCCCTTTGTGCTTCCACAATGCAACCCATGCAGTCCATATTGGTCAGCTTTCACCCTGTTACAAATACACTTGTATTCAATGTGAATTGGGGGCACCAATGCAGAGGGCCACTGATACATGAAGGGATTCTGGATTTAGATGTGTGCCCATTGCCCATTTTATATATTTATTTATATAAATAAATTTAACCACAACCAGGTCCTAGTGGTATTCAGGCAAAACGTAGGAGAGAGAGTACCCCAGAGAAAACATCACTGAATGATGTGATAATGGAAGGGGACTCCCCTTCCAAACAGTAAAACTCTCCTCCTCCCCCCCCCCCCCCCCCATCACCATCTTCCATATGCCATCAAGAGCCTTCCATGAAGGTAAGATAAACTTCGGTACTGTATTGTAGTTAGAAAAAACATTGTATTCAGTATAAAATGTATTTATATGTTAATATTTTGAAAAGTGGGGAACGGATCAATTCAAATCCCTTTATTTCTTATGGGAAAAATCGCTTCAACTTGCGATCTGTCTCTGGGAACGGATTAGCATCGTAAGTCGAGGCCCCATTGTATATATATATATATATATATGTTATGTATGTATGTCCTTCTGTTTGCCAATGTATGCCTCACCATCCCTCCAAGGAGGGACAAATCACTTGCTTCCTCGGTCCTGAGGGTGATAAATGAATGCCCAAGGGGGGATAACCTAGTTCGCCTGCCTCTCCGAGCAAAACACACCCACCGCAGAAATGGTAACAACAACATACCGGAAATGTACAAAATTAGAGCACAAATCACCAAGAAAATTGAAGAGGGAAATACCACAAGTGCTATTAAGAGCCCTCACCAGTGACGAGAAAATTGCTCCTCGAAACTCAGCCACAGCACGAGCCCTGCAAAGCAAGCACCCACCCAAAGCCCCTCATGGCGACATCATCATTCCGCCATCAGCCGACACCATTTCAGACCCATTAACCGTTGGTGAATTTGAGGTCTACAAAGCAGCCCTTTCTTTTCCACCTGGGTCAGCAGGTGGCTTTACAGGGTTAAAACCTCAACACATCAAGCAAATGTTAAATCCTGTGGTTGGTGATGCTGCACAAGATCTTATGGAACTCACAAGGTATGTCAACATGTGCCTGGCTGGTGATATACCCAAGGTCATCAGGCCCCTCTTTTTTGGTGCCTCCCTCTGTGCTCTCAAAAAGAAGGATGAAGGAATCAGGCCAATCGCTGTTGGCAACACTCTCCGACACCTGATTGCCAAGGCTGCTACGAGGGTTGTCAGCCAGCAAGTGGCTGAATTGCTGAAACCAATCCAGCTAGGATTTGGAATCCCCCAAGGCTGTGAAGCGGCTGCCCATGCAGCACGAGCATACATACACATTTCTGATGAAAAGGCCCTGCTCAAACTGGACTTTAAGAATGCCTTCAACATGGTCAAAAGAGATGCAGTACTTTGTGCCGTACATCGCCATTTCTGGCCTCTCTACCCGTTCATACTGTCGTGCTACAGTGGTGAGTAAAAACTGCTCTTTGGTGAACATGAAATCAGATCATGTGAAGGTGTTGAGCAAGGTGATCCTCTTGCTCCCCTTCTCTTCTGCTTAGTCTTAAAAGAAATCACCGAAAGCTTGTCCAGCGAGTTCAACATCTGGTTTTTGGATGATGGCACTATAGCTGGCACCGTAGACCACCTCTTGGCAGATATCAGGAAAATAAGGGAGCAAGAAGTAAGCCTGGGTCTCGTCCTGAACCCTTCCAAGTGTGAAGTAGTTTCCTCCAACCCAGACATCGTAGCTAGAATAAGGTCTGCCTTGCCTGGAGCCCATGTCATTAGGGCCAAGAACAGCACCCTCCTTGGAGCCCCCCTCGGGTCTAATGTCATTGAGGAGATCCTTGACAAGAAAATCGCAGACCTTAGGAGGATGGAAGACAGAATAGGTGACATCGATGCCCACGATGCTTTTTATCTCCTCACCAAATGTCTATCCCTTCCGAGGCTAACCTACTTTCTGAGGTGCGCCCCATCTTACGACAACAGAAAGCTTGAAGAGTATGACCTCTTACTGAAGACCATGTTGGAAAAAGTTGTTAACCTCTCCCTCAACGAATGCCAGTGGAAACAAGCCACTCTTCCTGTTAGGCTTGGTGGCTTGGGTGTCCGCACCGCCACCCAAATTGCTGTCCCAGCCTTCCTGTCTTCCTCCTCAGCATCAGATGACCTGGTTAAGGAAATTCTACCTGACACCCCGAGTGATGTAGCAGAGATACAGGACCCTCACTACACGGAATGCGACACGAAATGGGGTGCCATGGCAGACCCAGCACTCGGACCAGCCATGCCGAAAGCCAGAAACAATCCAGTTGGGACAGCCTCATTGTAGACAAAGAAGCCATAGCTTTGCTGGAGGCAGCAACAACCCCCAGTGATCGTGCCTGCCTCACAGCTGTGCAGGCTCCCCATGCAGAGGACTTCCTTTTGGCAGTCCCCATGTCTGCGACAGGCACACGTCTTGATCCGCAGGAGCTCCGTATTGCAGTCGCTCTCCGACTTGCTGCCTCTATCCACACTTTTCATAGGTGTATTTGCGGCGAGGCAGATGCTGACGAATATGGATTGCATGGCCTGCACTGTGGAAAATCGAGTGGTCGGCACACTAGACACGACAAAGTCAATGACATCATTAAAAGAAGCCTTGCCTCTGCTCAGTGTCCAGAGGAGAGAGAGCCCCGCAACCTACTGAACCGTGACTCTGTTAGCTTTGCCAGCCGACCAGACGGAATCACACTGCGTCCGTAGAAGAGTGGCAGACAGTTGGCATGGGACTATACTTGCGTATCCACCCTGGCAACCACATACATCAACCCCTCTGCCGGCACAGCAGGAGCCGCGGCGACACACACAGAAAGACAAAAGTCAGCCAAGTACAGGCAATTAGATCATCGGTACAACTTCGTTCCAATAGGGTCTGAGACCCTAGGCCCATGGGGTGAGAGTGCAAGATGGTTTCTTAAGGATCTTGGTTCCAAGCTCATTGACACCACAAGATACCCTAGAGCGGCAAGTTTTCTCTTTCAGCGCCTCAGTGTCGCGATCCAGAGGGGAAATGCCCGCTGCATCCTCAGTTCCTACCCGGCGTTGGAGGAGTTCGAGGAAATCTACAGCCTCTAGGAAGCGAACTTTTTCTTGTGTCCTCTTAATGTTAATTTTTTGTATAAAATCAGATATATAACTGTATAACTTAACTGCGCCAACCGAGTATTCTCGGTCGCTGGGAAACTGCACCAACCGAGAAAACTCTTTTTGACTTTTCATAACCAATTCTAAATGTGTACGAGGTTGGTTGTGTACGAAATGGACTTTTAGGACCTCCAGTGAGAGGCAGCCATCTTGGAAAAAATTCCCAGAATGCCCTAGGGCTGCTGGCTAGGTTAGTACTGAATGAGCCACCATGGGTGGCGCACGCGCCTCTGGCTCCCAAACACCTGTCCGACGCGGTGTTGATAGATAATGCTCTGTTGGTGAAATTCAAACCTTATTGTTTGAAGAACATAAGGGTCATAATATTGGGGAAGCTAGGTGCAATAAAGACCTAACACAAAGGTCGGATGCAAGTGATACAGCACCTATGAGGACGATACAGCCAGCGCATCCAGTTGTAGCTCTGAGCGTCACCCTTGCAATCCTATGCTATTTATTTAGATGATACATAGATGAATCGTTTTCTGTGTTCAGTGATGATGCATCTGATACAAATAGCATAGAGGAACAGTGTTAGTGGCTTCCATGGTGGTGTTTTCCATAGATATTTTCAAGAATACCTGAATCTCTACCTAACTACTTGAGGTATGCTGAATCTTTTCTTGTGTGGGACCATACAAAGCGATCTTTTCAAGACTACCTTACAAATTGATCTTTTCCTATAATCTTTTCAATACTACCTTATGCTTTACAAGCTTGGCTACATACAACTTACAAGTACTAAAGCCAAGGGTGTACGTGAGTACGTTATTTGCAAGCACACAGAATGAAGAAACAGGAAGTGAAAATTTATCTGTACCTGGTGCACTGAGAGCGAAGTCGCGCTGTGTACCATGGACTACTTCGTTGATTATTACTCACTTCTGAAGTACTGAGTGTGTAATACAGTGTGTTACTGTGTAAATAGTGT